TATATATATATATATGATGGCGATTTCCGTTGTGATTGATTCTGTCGCTTGAAGGATTCCTCATCCACTTCCGCTCACTTTTCTGCTTCGTTGGCTCGCGTCCTTCGATGCCAACAGCTCGTTTGCGTCTCTCAATTTCGATGAAAACACGTTCACGTTTGCTCGATGAGTCCAGTCGTTTGCTTCGATTTCGACGACGACGTTCAGCCGCACCCTTCTGCGTAGTTTCCCTGCCCGACGCCTTCGGTTCGGGTCTGCTTCTTTCTATTCTTCGCCGACAGCAGTTCTTTTGAGATTTTCTAACAGGTGGATTTCCTACTCTCATGGCGCTTCCATTTTCTTCGTTTGAACCTGTCAAAGCCTCCTTTGCCCACGTGGTGGGTAAACGATTGTTTTTCCCATAAGTTATAAGGATTGTCGTGATGGTACAGGTGACTGCCCCTTGTTAAGAATGCAAGTAGGAAAAGTGAGAAAACAAAATTTTTTTTCTCTGAGTTAGAAAGAAATTCAAATTCGCTCTCATTTAAAAATTTCAGTGGTGACACCCGCCGATGGAAGTTATCAAAAAAGTTTTGATGACTTCAAATTAGCAGGAAAGCGAAAAGTGAGGCTCATAGATAAGAGACATGTGTTGATCCAATTAACTGTGACTGAAGACTATACAAATTTTCTCCAAAAAATATCTTACCATTGCAGACAAGTCAATGAAGTTACTCAAGTGGTCTATCAATTTTGACCCTAATCATGAATCTCCTACTGTACCGGTCTGGTTTAGTCTACCTGGCCTCAAGCTTCACTTTTTTCATCATCAGGTTCTTTACTCTATTTGGGCAATACTTGGGGATCCTATGGAGCTAGATCTACCCACTTTCAACCTAGCCAGACATTCTGTAGCCAGAATATTTGTATAAAAAGATATTACTTCACCTGATGTTACTGAAGTATGGCTGGGCACAATTCATAATGAATATTGACAACAAATCGTCATGGAACACATACCTCCATATTGTAGCCACTGTAAGATGTTTGGGCATATCCCTGATAAATGCCACAAGCTCCATCCTAATTTAAAATCTAAGGTTCAAGCGGATAAGAATGTGTCTAACCCCACTGCTCCGGATATTTTAGTTCCACATGAGGAGGATATTGTCAGATAGGAGGTGTCTGTTGCCCTTATGGTCTCACTCTAACACTGCTGTTACTGTTATTGCGATTGATGTGATGCTGACATCTTCAAACCCCATAGAAAACAATACTGAAGAACTTTCACCTACAAAGAATAGTGTTCAAATTGATATTCAGGAGAACCTGGAAGGAAGAAGAAGAATGAAGATCTACTCGAGCTCAGGAGTCTTATGGACGATACTTTGGTTACTTCGGGTAATGGTACGCACCTTACCAATTTGTTAGCTGGATCCCTTTCGAGAACTAGAGGCAACGACATAACTAAATTGGGATGACCCTTAGCACCCTGGTGGTTTTGGGTTTTTTTTTTAATTTTTATATGTACCCATTTTGACCTTTTTGTGTGTGTTGTACCATGTGAGGTGTCTATTTTTGGGCCCACTCATACAACCTATTTGTATCTTTTCTCTTTAAATATTTCTTTGGGTTTTATATATATATATATATATATATATATATAATTTTTTTTTGATAAAACATTACTCAACTACTTTACCATACAAAAGATAATTTCACCATGTGGATCACCACATGAACATTCGTTGATAACATAATAGAAACAATGTGCAATATATGTCCTAACACAAAAAAAAAAAAGTTATTATTTTCATTTATTGTGCCTTGCCACGAAAATAACACAAAAAAAATGCATTATGTTATGCTGTGTTATAACATACTATTTGGAGCCATTGATATTTATGTGTTAGAAGTACAAAACGACAAGACCAAAAGCATCACTTTTCCATTGCATGATGGTTCTCAGTTCTGATTAAAGTTACAGCTCCTCATTTCCTTCGGTTGATTGTTTGGAACTTGAAGTTTTTCCATTGACAGCCATGAGTTCAGTATCAAAGATAAGTGTGGCACCTCCTGGGATCTTTGGAAGAGAACCTTGGGCTCCATAACCGAGCTTCGCAGGTATCTTCAGCTTCCTTTTCTCACCGATGCACATTCCCAGAAGGCCCTGGTCCCATCCTTTGATCTCTTGTCCCTTTCCAAGCTCAAACTCAATTGGCTCACCTCTTTCATAGCTGGAGTCAAACATGTTACCGTTAATAAGCATCCCACGATAATGCACTTTAACCATATTACCTTTGTGAGATTGAATGCTACAAACCTCTGGCTTGTACTTGACATCGATCTGCAGATCTACAACATCGCTTGATTTCTTAGCAGAAACAATTATAAGTACAGCGGCGATGAATGTGATGAAAATAAGAACCCTATCCATCTCCCGCTCTTAGCCCTCCCTTGGATCTACTGAGGGCTGCTGCCCGTAGAGAAAAAGGCTCTGACCGCATATATATATATATATATCTATGTGTGTATGGCAAAACGTGGCGCTGATATTCTCGCTGCTCGGCAGAAGGATTGGATCGCATTGCTTGACGCACAAGTAAGCGATTTCAATAATGCTTTGAATGATCTGTGGAACGAACATGAACACGCATTGCGGAACTGAAGTTGTAGATACGAATGCTTTGGTCGAAGCTTGACATGAACATTGAAGCCGTTAAAACCAAGTTCTTCCCCCCTGGCATCTATCAAACAATGACTGCTTCGGAATTTAATGGTGCTTGTTGGGCCGATCATGTTTCCGACACTCATGCTGCCGGCGGAGATCCACCGGTGTTCTTTGAGGCCACTCTGCTTGAAGCAGTCTTGTATAATGCCGAAGTTGCCCGTCAACGCCACATACTCCAGTTCTTACAGGGAAAGGTTATAAGACAGCATTACGTAAGTATGCAAATCAGAAGATTAGGCTGTTTGATAAAGCGAAGGAGAAGCGTGCGGCAAACAGCTCTGGAGACCTCGTGGAAATAGTGGGTGCTGAGTTACCCGGGGGAGCTGCTGAAGCGAATCCCAATGGGGAACGTCTTCCCCAAAACCCAAAACATCTCCGGGAAGCTGAATCAAATCTGGCAACTGGGGCACAAGCCATGGACGTTTATCTTCACTGAGGGCCCACCGTTACACACGTACCATTTTCATTCGCTACCGCATGTAGAGCACATCACTTTCTGGCCGCGGCTTTGGAGATGGACAAGCGGGGCATCCCCATGGCTCGAAGTAAATGGAAGTCCGACAATGCTAATCATGGCTGTTTAGCGGGTATGCGTCTATTAGCTGATGCTAGTGTGGACCAGGTCGACGATTTTGAGTAATCCATTACACCATTAATGCGGCATGTGAGGTTCAGATTTTGCCTATTTGTGAACCGCTGTTTGTTTGAAATTTAAATTCTTTGTCGATTAAGCTAAGAGTTGACCTTTTTCTGTGGAAGTAAAATAGGGGCTTGGTCGTGTAATTATCTTGTTTTTATGTGGTCTGTTTGTTAATGCGTTCGCGAAGGTTGCGACATGGAAATATATATATATATATATATATATATATATATATTTATTTATTTATTTATCTGTGTGTGTGAAAATTGAAGTTTAGCTATTAGATATGTAAATACTTTGGAACTGAGTGGTATATATGCACATCTCCCTACTTCATAATCAATGGGCGTTGTTGGCTAAGCTTTTTAATTGAATCTTCTTGTTTAACTGTGAAAACAGATAATGGAGGTGGAATGGATCCAGAGTCCATACGGCGCTGTATGAGTTTTGGATTTTCAAATAAAAAATCAGATTCATTGATTGGACATTGTATGGGCATTCCACTTTTCACATTGCGTTTTCTCTGTTTTATCATTATTTTTTCAATAATCGGTAAAGGTACTGTTTCCAACTCAAGACGGAAATGGCTTTAAAACCAGTACTATGAGGCTAGGGGCAGATGTAATTGTTTTTAGTCGTTGCAGCAGAGAAGGGTAATGTTGTAAATATTTCTTTTTCTCCACTGTTCTGTTTACTTTGAGCTTTCATTTTGGTGCTTTAAAATTGTTTCTTCCATGTTATTGAAGATTATAGTTGCACGCCTAATACCAACTTCATTGACTTGGTATCTTGCTTTTGTTTTTATATTTCTATTTTTTGTTTTGTCTTGTTCTGTTTTTATTTTGATTTGAACCAAAACCTGTTTGGCTCTTTGATTAAAGTTTAATTATTTTTAAAAATATTCAATACACCTAAAAGTTTTTTTGAATGTTTTCAAAATTAATAATTTATTTTTTTTAGAAATAGAACATAAAAAGATGTAAAAAATAAACTAAAAATAAACATATTTTAGAAAACAAAAAACGAAAGCAAAAACAAAGACAAAAATGATAAAATTGATGCCAAACAAGCCCAAAGTGATTTTTTTTGTGTTGGCTTTGGCTTATACACATCACTAACATCATGGCTTATGAGTGTTATCTATCTATAGTTTTTTTTGGCCTTTCTATTTATCTCTTTTTTATTGCACGTTTTGGTGTTTTGAAAAAAAAAAAGAAAAAATTGTTGATTCAAAATTCTATACTATCTTACAACTTCTACACTGAACTTCAGATTATCAGTCTATTGGAGAGATAAAAATACGAGGAAAATGCAAAAATGATCCTCTGACTTTTTGTCAATGGTCTAAAAGTGTCATTTTAGTTCTTGGACTCTTTTAAAGAGAGCTAAAATAGTCTTCTTTGGGAACTACTTCTGTCTATATTCAAAGAGCCTAAGGATTAATTTGATACATATATGGACTCTAATACTAAAATTGTCATACCCCAATTCACCCCTCTTTTATGGGTCAACCAAGGTGCGTTAGAGACGAACAATTTGGTCAGACTAAATTCTTATCTCAAATTCACCAACCTATAGCTCTGTATAAATCAATTCATATTTGATCCCATTCTTACTTCTTCTAAATCCAACACGCTTCCGTCATTCCTTTCATCCAATGACCATGCTCTAAAATCAGTTTTTGTCACACCCCAACTTTACAACCCATCGTTGATTTTGTGCTAAATCATCTATGAAAGCTTTCAAATCACTTTCGATGCTTCCGATATAATGTTTGCTCCTTCGACGGCTACTGGAAACAAAAAATGCACAAAATTTAAGGCAACCATTGAAATAGAAATGTGAGGAAGGAAGTGAAAGTCTCAAATGATGAGAGAGAGGGATTCGTTCCATTTTGAGACTTCCATTTCCTTCATGTTTCCGTTTCGACGTTTACCTCGAATTTTGTGTATTTTTCGTTTCTAGTAGCCATCGGAGGCGCCAAAATTATATTGAAAGCGTCGGAAGTGATTTAAAAGCTTTCGTACGGATTTAGCACGAAATCGGTGAGGAGCTGTAAAGGTAGGGTTTGATAAAAATGCCCTCATGTCTGGGGACTATTTTGAGACTTTACATTCAGTTTTCTTATAGTGCAACTCAATGCAAATTTAAGGCCTGCTCAGTTTGATTTCCCATGAATTTCTAATTAGACATTTAGAACTGATTTTTTTTTCCCGAAAGTAGAAATGGAGTATATTGTTTAAGACTAAACGTCCCTACTGTTAGTCAATTTAGCTAAAATAAAGTTTGTTGTCTCAAGGGTATTGAGGCAGCTTCTCTGTCGAATCATACATGTGCTTTTCCTATTAAAAATCTTACGTTGCCTGTCTTTTGCTTTTCCTGGGCTTTCTGTAACTGATATTTTAGCATGATAATTTCCATCATTTTCATTCTACCTTCTCCCCTGTTGGAATAGCAATCATGAATTATCAATTGGAATGTGCTCATCAGGTCAATTACTCGAAGTGTTGGGATTCTTTCGTATACTTTTCTGAGGCAAACAGGCTGTGATGATGTTCTAGTGCCAATGGTATAGATTTCGAAAAAACTAATTTCATTTATTGTCTTATTGTTCCCTTGATATTTTTAACCTTTTAGCATTCATTCCTTTCTTTTGACAGTCAAATACTATTCTAGTTTGGATAAATATTCAGGAATTATAAATTTAATTTCATTAATTTTCCTTTTGGTGGCAGGTGGACTACAACTTTGATTCTTCGACTCAAAGATTTGTGAGGATGATTAGTCACAGTGAGAAACAGTTTGGTGATAACTTGTCTGCTCTTTTGAGATGGTCTCCTTTCTCGAAAGAAGAAAACTTGTTAAATCAAGTATGCTATGGCTAAGAATTGAACTTGCCTTAATTGTTCATGAGAAATCATGTGAAAAAACTTGCGTGCTTTAAAATTAGGTTTATTTCATAAAAGTGTCAAAATAGTCCCCTGACTATTTAGTGGAGTCATTTTAATCCTAGAATTTATAAAGTGAAAAATTTGTCCCTGGACTGTATTTTAACATATATTCAAAGAGTCTTGGATTAAATTGACATTTTTAAAAACTCGGGGACTTAAATGATCCCTTGCAAATAATTAAAAGATTTTTTTTACACTTTTCTCTATTTCATAATCTTTTATTCAGCTACGATGGCTTTTGCGTTGAAAAAATAGCTGTTAATATCAAATAGTTTATGTTTTCTGTTCCTCTAACCTTCTTTCCTTTGCGAGAGTTTCACTCTCTTAAAACTTTAATTTGGAAGGAATTTCACTTTGTGTATGATATTTCCATATTCATCTCAAGTTATCTGCAGTTTTTAGAGTTTGATTTTTTCTTTTTTTTTTGAGTCTGTGGAACAGTTTGACCATATTGAAGGTAACGGGACAAGAATTATTGTTTTCAATCTGTGGCTAAACGATAATGGAGATCCTGAGCTTGATTTTGACACCAATGAGAAGGTAAGATGACATTGCTGCTTTGATGAACGTAGCCTTACCCAAGATTTGCTAAGAGACAATTTTTATGACTTGAACCAGTGATCTTCAGGATGCAATGGGTTCCATTAAGGGCATTGACATACATACCACCAAATTTTTATGACTTTATATATCTAACACCTAAATTTTAATTTTTACATTTATACCACACAAATCTTTGATATCACTTAAAAATATCATTATTTTAACTTTTAAAAAGTGTTAGATATGTAAATTAGTAAGAATTGAGGGATATACATGTAAAACTTTCTATTTTTAAATATAGTGCTATAGTTTGTGACTCGGGATTAATTTCTTTTACCATAGAGTGATTTTCCGCCAAACCTTTGCTGCTTGCAGGATATTACAATAAGCGGAACGCCTGAAGTGATGCGTAGTTCTTGGTTTGCAAGAGATTTGAATGACAAGCATATAGGAATTCGATTTCATTATTCTCTGCGGGTCAGCCATCTCTTTGTGCTTGTGGAACTTTAATTTTTATTTTAATGATGATACTGCTGATTACAAAATTTGCATTTTTACAGGCATATGCTTCAATCCTCTATTTGCGTTTACCTTCAAATTTTAGCATTTTCTTGCGTGGCCAGCTTGTTGATCCCCATTATATAGCTGAAGATCTCATGTATACACAATGCATCAAATATAAGCCACAAGTTGCCGGCACAATAGAGGTCTGTTATTAATCTCTGAACTTTAACCTTTCAAATCTTTTATGCTGAGAATTTTCATGCTTGAGGTATTTTATAATATAACATTATATAACTATTCACATGCGCTTCAGCTTTTTACAAGTTGTGGTGGTTTCTATAACAAAAATTTTCATTCTTTTTTTCTTTTATTGTCTGTCCAAATAGATTAGAGTGCATTTGGAAAATGCAATTAAGTTAGAAGAAGAATCACCGATAATAATGCTATTCGGTTTCTTAGAATTATTAGGTTAACTAAGGGTTGGGGGCAGTTTTCTCATTAGTTTGATTTTCAGACCGCTCCATGCTTCTGTTTGGCTACTGCTTGTCGTTAAACTTTTTTTTTTTTAGAAATTTAAAAATATGAAAAATAAAAATAATTTTTGAGATTTAATTTAATATAATAAATATGTATAAAAGATATATATAGTTTGAGTTTTGAAAGTAGCATGTTTTAATTTTTTTGAAAAATGAGACCAAATAGATCTCATTCGTCCAATAGTTTGCGTAATCGTGTCTGGCACCCTGAATACTGCACATTCCAAAAGAAAAGTGTAGATTCTGGTAATAGACCCAAGACTGCAAACTAAGAGATTTGTGACATCCATCTGGTCTGCGAACATTTTATATGTGACCAACAAATTCTCCTATTTATTATAAAGATTAAATAGGGTTTATTACATCCCAAGTGACAGGAGTTATTTGATAAAACTCTCGATAATGATCAGTGGTTCTAGTATTCAAGAATTCAAAGTTTTAGGTTTTTACGGTAGGACGTGGAAAAACAAGTGGGAGTGGCTCAAGTTGGAACAATTCTTTCAGGAGTCCAATGGAAGTAAAGGATAGGGGGCATCACAGATTTTGAGGAGGAACCTCAGTGACTTCCCAAACTATCCTACTGTGTGGCTATGTTTTAGAGAGAAGGTTATTTGAATGTTTAATCCTGTTGATTTTATTATTTGGGACTTACACTTACATAATAATTGACTATGCAAATAACCCGTAGAGATAAGAGGTTTTACGTCGTTCTGGACGACAACCTCGGAACCTAAGGCGAGTTAGGACTTACGCTACACAACATGGTTGTGCAGGGGCCTAAAAGAAGGTGAGGAATTACGTCGCGTTAGGCGAGCTACCTCGAAGTCCTATGGGTTACTAGTGAAGAGTTGTTTTGCTGTTGTAGAATGACGACCACCTCCACTTGTAGTCTGCTCCAAATTTCTTGTCGCGCTGCCCACGATGCTGCTCCAAATTCCTTGTCGACGCGGCAATCTTAAAGTCTAAGGTTCAAAAGATTGCACCATGTATGTTTCAATGTTTCAGTTTTATTGTCATTATGGGGGGTTAAAGTTGATTAGGGCGACACCGGTTAGGATCCCACGGTTCCTTAGTTCCGGCAACATTATTTTCTTTTGAATTTGCTTAGTTTAAATGAGTTGTGAAACTCATTTAAATCGGGGAGATCTCATTAGCAACCGTGGGTTACCTCTGTGGGTTACCTCTAACCGTGGGTTACCTCTTCCGAGGGACTCCCGTAAATTCGAAAGAACGTGTTATGTTTTTTTTTTGTTTTGAAAATGCTGTTTAATTTTTGAAAAATCGTTTTATTTTAAAGTGAAATTGTATTCAGTACCTGCATAATGTGTTAGAGCAAGAGTAATTGCAATAAAAAAACAACAACAAATAAAATGTACCTGCGTACATGGCGTATATGTTGCTGTTATTCCTGTTGCATGTGTAACTCACAAAACATAAAATAAATTGCATAGAAAAGAAGAAAAACAGTAAACAGTAGAACAAGTTGTAGCAACAACTAGGAACTCCAAACAGGTGATCCTAAGGTTTTCTACAACTCCCGACTGCAACTAGTGAGCTAGTATGGTGATCCTACGGCCTCCTACGGTTCCGGGAAACAACTAACAAGTGTGTACGGTGATCCTACGACTCCGGACAACAGTTAGGAATCTCAAATAATGCCTGCATGAGCTTTTATGAACCCAAACAACAATGTGCAACACCTATGCGGCTTCCTACGAACCCGAACAGAGATGGGCAACAACTAGATGACTTCCTACGAACCCAAATAGTGGTGGACAGTTCCTAGGTGGCTTCCTACGAACCCAAATAGTGGTGGGCAGCAACTAGATGGCTTCCTACGAACCCAAACGGTGATGAACCCAAACGGTGGTGGACAGCTATTAGGTGCTTCCTATGAACCCAAACAGTGGTGGACAGCTACTAGGTGGATTTTTACGAACCCAAATCGTGGTGGACAGCTTCTAGATGGCTTCCTACGAATCCTAGGTGGTTTCCTACGAACCTAAACGGTGGTGGACAACTGCTAGGTGACTTCCTACGAACATAAACGGTCGTGGACAGCTCCTAGGTGGCTTCCTACGAACCCAAATAGTGGTGGACAACTCCTAGGTGAGGCTTCCTATGAACCCAAATAGTGGCGGACAACTCCTAGGTGGCTTCCTACGAACCCAAACGGTGGTGGACAGCTACTAGGTGGTTTCCTACGAGCCCAAATCGTGGAGGACCGCTGGTGGTGGACAGCTACTAGGTGGCGGCTTCCTACGAACTTAAATCGTGGTGGACAACTCTTAGGTGGTTTCCTACGAACCCAAATACTGGTGGGCAGCTCCTAGGTGGCTTCCTACGAACCCAAATCGTGGTGGACAGCTACTAGGTAGTTTCCTACGACATCGGACAACGGTTAGGAGCATCGGGCAGCACTCAACAGCACTCCTACGATACTGGGCAGCGACTTGGAGCTTTGGGTAGTGGTCCTATAACTTTCTATGACATCAGACAGCGGTTAGGAGCATTGGACAACACCCTATAACATTCCTATGACACTGGGCAACGACTAGAAGCATTGGACAACGATCCTATAGCTTTCTACGACATTGGGCAGCGGCTAGAAGCATTGGACAACACTTATGCAACCGTTTTTCGGCCCAAAAAGCACTAAACAACAACCTAGAACACTTATAATCTTTTAAACAGCACTTTCTAGCACTTTCGGAACTTAAAACAACATTAAACGACATTCTACTGCTCCAAACGGTCAATTACAGCAATAGACAACACATTTAAACCCCAAACCGCAGCTATACGAGCCCGAACAACAGCTAAAATTAGGACATTTACACACATGCCACCCAATTCAGATGTACTCGCATGTCTTACACCTAAAATTTTTTATTTATAATGATAGCGGCTTGGTGCCATGAACTTATGCATGAGAGGATGGATTTCACTTTTAAAAAGAAGAAATAGAGCTATATTTTTTTTTTTTATGAAATTAAAGATTTCAGTGCTATGTAACCATGAAAGTTTAGGTGAGATACGTAAATACAACAAGATTGTGTGTTATGCAAGTAAAAAAAAAAAAAAGACTAGGTGTTAGAAATGTAAACACACAAGAGTTGTGTGGTATGTGTGTAAATCTACCTGCAGTCTCATAAAACAATTAAAACCTCTATTTCTAACACACAAAATATGAAGCTAATGGCCCAAAGCTTAGTGTTTACACCACTCTAAGCAAGAATTAAAATCAACTCCAAAGAGGTTAATGAATTCTAAACATGAAAACTGCACTTTTCATTAAGAAAAGGAGATGCTCTGTGAAACCCAGGATTTAGGTAGTATGCATATGAATATGAAAATTCAGGTTTTAGACATACGAATAAATAAGCCTCCTGTAATATCTATATAAATGTCATGGAAGTTTTAAGAGCAATGTGGCGCCTAGGTATTCCCGTTTTCTTCCAACTACACTTTTAACCCCAAAAAAATAACAAGCATTGACGCATGGAAATTCTCCAAACAACATACCAACAAGCTTGATTTTCTTTATAGAATAGTTCTTTCAGATTCAATAGATGATGAGAATTAAAAAAAAAAAGACTGCAGCAAACATAGAGAAGATACGAACAACGAGCTTCAGAGTAAAACCTTGCTTATTGTGGCTCAGAGCAGGAAAGAGATGTATGGTGATGGGAGAGACGCAACTTGGAGAGAATTGAACCTGGGAGAATTGTCGTGCCGAGGAAAGACGAGCGGGTGGGCTTCAGTCTGACGAGAGAGGGAAGCAGGCGAACGGGCTCGGTGCTGAGGAGAGCGGGATAGGGACTTCAGTGCCGAGGGGAAGAAGCGATAGGGCAGAGGAGCCGAATCGAGTAGCACCTGGTTGTAGGCAAGGAAAAGGCGAGGGCTTCGGCGCTGAGAAATGAGGGAGTTCGATCGAGCACGAGTTTCCGTCGCAGAGAGGAGAAGCGAACGAGAGTTTCGATCGGGAGCTGTGATCGAGTCGCAGAGGAGGAGCGAGATCAAAAGGAGCAGGTGTCGAGCGGAGATCCTCGGCGCAACAAGGAGTCAAGCGAGGTTTCTGTCGAGCGGGAGAGTCTTAAGTCGAATGCGAGCAGGGAGGCAAGGGTCTCTGTCAAGCGGGATCGAGCAGAGGAAACGAACGGGAGAGCCAAATTGCAAGAGCGGGAGTTTGGTGAACGAAGGGAGATGAGCAGGAGCTTGGGAGAGGCAGAGGAGGAAGACTAGCGACAGGGGATCTTCGGTTGAATGAGAGCCAGGGAGCCGAGGCTCTCATGCGCGAGAAAGAAATAGGCCAGCAGAAGAGGACCCGCGCACTACTAAAAAAAGTGTCTCGATATCCGTGTTAGTTGCTCGCGTGTGAAACCATAATGATATGGGTGTCATTCCTAGCTAAAGTTGACGTCCCAGACGCATCTTTGTGGTCCGTTTCGTTATCCGGGGTCGTCCGGACGAGTTCGCAAAATCGTGCGGGATGCGATGCGTGCGCAAACTGCGGCGTTATCGAGCATTCGGGTCGCAAAGGGGTTCCGTAGGGGCTGCTCCTATTAATGTAGGAACTCGACTTGAGTTTCATGTGTCGATCCTAATCAACTCAACGAAATGCCGAGAATTTGGGACCGCCCATGCGAAACTCGAATGAGTGACGAGGTGACTCGAATTTTTTAAATGGTGTGGGTTCCGTACTTGTCCTCTAGGAGGGTCAAACAAGAGAAGCCTAAAGCTAGACCCTAGGCTCTAAGGAGAGAAGTGAAGACCTCATCCGAAAATGAGGTCAGCACTGCTTTATTGCTAATTTTTAGAAATTTCAGTTTTATAAAGCTACTTTTGACTTTTGAGAACCAGATTTGCTAGTGTGGTAGGTAAAAGAAAGCTCTTGGCTCACATTTTTGACAAAGAAAATATTATAATATTGAAAAATGCTTTTTAAAAAGCTACTTTTCCCACATCAATTTTACGACAAACTTGCTCCAATTTGACATTTCAAGTGGCCTGATACCGGAGTGAGCCCAAATCGTGATCGAACGACAAATATTATTGCTGAATTCAAAAGTTACAACGACCCCTCAACACAAAACACATAAACGTTCTTTAGGAGAGAGCAACGGTTTTGGAAGGGCAGGATAATAATTTACCCTAGATAAAAGGAAAAACGTAAAATAGGAAAAAACCTAACACCTATATATTCAAAATTACAATTAATCAATTCCTAATAACTATCTAGAGATAAAATGAAAGACATAAAATAGGAAAAACATGACACCTATATCTCCAAGATTGCAATTAATCAATTCTTAATAACTACCGGAGATAAAAGATATATATATAAAATAAGAAAGAAATAAATAGAAAATAACAAGAAAATAAATAAATTAATTTCTAGTAACTTCTAGCATGATGCAATGGAGAACAAAGATTCATGTAGCCGACCGCACTTAGTGGGATGAAGACTTGTTATTGTTGTGTTGTTGTTTTGTAGTCTTCAATTTTTAAACCATTAATGTCGGCAAGATTGTGGTACCGACAATGCACAAAATGGTAACCAACAAAAGCTAGCTTTAAGTCTTATATAAAATTATTCATAATTTATTAAAAAGGAAATGAAGGATACACGAGTTTAAAAACAAAATAATAAAAGATTTTATTATTTTAACTTTTGCAATTTTATTTCTATGAATGAAATATATTCCAAGTTCAATAATATTAATGACTTAAATTTTCAAATTAAACTACTTTGACAAGATGAATGCATAGATAATAGATGAGTGCGCACCTTTATAGGACATTGTGATTGGTGCTTGCATAAAAAATATAAACCTTTCTTTTGGTGTACCGTCTATTTCAGACTATTTATCCGGACCAAGTTTCAGGCATTTCTTATGAAGATAATGATGGATGGTTCAAGTTAATAGCTTGAAATAGTTCTTGAAGCCATGGCATAGGAATATGCGATGTTTAGTCAGATTAAATATTTTTATTGGAATTGAGATATATTTGCTTTTTTTCTGTTCATTGTCAGCGTGTAAGAATAATCTGGAATGATTTAAAAGCTTTTCTATTACTTCATTTTAGTAATGATTTTCTCTTTGAAAAAATAAAAAGGAAGATTTGTACCACTCAATTCCTATATATTTACATAACTACTAAATTTCAATTTTTGCACACCTTACATATCCATGTATAGGTGTATTTCACCCTTCAAAAATAAAAATCGTGGTATTTTTTAATGTAATATTAAAAATTTGGGTGGTATAAATGTAAAAAAATCAAAATTGATATGTAAATGCATAGGAATTAGGTGTTTTTTATGTAAATGCCCCAAATAAAAAACCATTAGTGGATTTCAGCCACAATAACGCTGCAACATCTAACAAGCTTTTTATGAGAATTATGCTTTACTCGGAATTTTGAGGTGCTCACATTATCGTGACTTGCTTTAATTTTGTCAATTTAGGCTGAGGAAATTGGGACTGTCATTGGATTCTTAAAAGGGGCTCCTCACCTCAACATACATGGATTTAATATATACCATAGATGCCGCCTTATAATGGTAAGCGCTTGAAAATTTAGCTTTATTCTTAACTCTAAAAATTTTAGAATGCTATATGATTTTTTTTCATATGCTCTGTTTCAAAGTTCTTAATGTTTTTCTGCCAGATCTACTCTTTATAGACCTTTGTATAATCAGTTTTAGAGAGTATGTTTATATACTTTTGTCGAGTTATTGTTTTGATTGTTGCTTTTAGTTAGACAATATACCTATGAGAAATTTTAAATTTGCTAATTTTATCTAGGAATTATTGAAATTAGTCATGCATTGGTTTGTCTTCTTAGACTATGATCTATGTACTGAACTCTAGGCTTGAACTGGGTCTTTTGGTCATTATTTTTTAAAACGTGTTTATTTTGTAGTTTTCTTTTAAATCACCTTGCGCATAAAGTCATGCATTTTATGCAGTGAGTATTAGCCTTATGGCTGTTGATTGTAAAAAAATGAAAAAGGAAAAAAGAGGGAGAAATTAAAAAAAAGGAAAATAAGTTATATTAATTAAAATTAAATTAATTAACTGAAACATTTTATTATTCTCGCCTCTTGGAGATATTTGTTCCCTCATTCCCTTTGAGTTACAAGCACACGAAACAAAAACCTTCCCTGATTCACACTCATGGGCATTGTCTCGTTCCATTTCTTCCCCTGTCATTCCAAATCTCCCGTTCTCCTACCTCTCTTGCAATACAGTAGCGATTAGAACAACCCGGGGAAGGAGCGGCGTAATTGCAGTCTACAAAGACCTGAAAACCCTCTCGTCTCCCGAATTCTTCGCGGTAATGTCGCAATTAAAGCAAATTGGAAAGGCAACTGTTGACCTTATTTTTAGTGAGGTCTAGTCTTTCTCTTAGGGTTTAGGATCTAGCCTTAAGAATCTCCCTTTGACTATCCTAGAGCCTTAGAAATGAGACCCGCCTCATTTTAGAAATTCAACCTACTTCTGTACCCTTTTGGAGTTTCGCATGTGTGGTATCGACTTCTAGCGCTTAGAAGGGTGAAACCAACATGAGGGAACCCAAAAGGAGTTTATAAGACCTTTGAGCCTTAGGGCGGTCTTTTGCACAATTCGCACTCCCGCGCGCACAAAATTTGCAATTCGGAGAGTCGACACATCCGATTACTACGATTCACATCGCTTGCACCGTTACCTGTCGAAGACTCGAATAAACTTTTTGAGACGATCGATCGTTGGTCGAAATTTTGTGAAATTTGAATTTTGACGCATTTTTGACTCGATTGTCGACGATGTCGTCCGAGTGACCCCAGATGACAAAACGGACCGCACCGGCGCGTCCGGAATGTCGATTTTGCCTAGGGAGGACACCCATTTTATTACGACACCGCACGTGAATAAATTGTATATAATTTAATATATATATATATATGTATATATATATATATATATATATTAATTTGT